GGTGCTGTATGTGTGTGGGTGCTGTATGTGTGTTGGTGCTGTGTATGTGTGTGGGTGCTGTATGTATGTTGGTGCTGTGTATGTGTGTGGGTGCTGTATGTGTGTTGGTGCTGTGTATGTGTGTGGGTGCTGTATGTGTGTAGGTGCTGTGTATGTGTGTGGGTGCTGTATCTCTGTAGGTGCTGTATGTCTGTGGGTGCTGTATGTGTGTGGGTGCTGTATGTCTGTGGGAGCTGTATGTGTGTGGGTGCTGTATGTGTGTAGGTGTTGTATGTCTGTGGGTGATGTCTGTCTGTGGGTGCTGTATGTGTGTGGGTGCTGTATGTGTGTAGGTGCTGTGCATGTCTGTGGGTGCTGTATGTCTGTGTGTGCTGTATGTCTGTGGGTGCTGTATGTGTGTGGGTGCTGTATGTCTGTGGGTGCTGTATGTGTGTTGGTGCTGTGTATGTGTGTGGGTGCTGTATGTGCGTTGGTGCTGTGTATGTGTGTGGGTCTTGTATGTGTGTGTGCTGTATGTGTGTTGGTGCTGTGTATGTGTGTGTGCTGTATGTGTGTAGGTGATTGTGGGGGGTGGAGGTGGGGGTACATTACTCGATATCCCCCCTCCCTTCTTACCTTATGTAGGGAGGGGGGATCGTGCTGCTGCTTTCCCTGGTGGTCCAGTGGAGAGTGAACTCTAGCCCCTGTGGGACTAGAGTTCACTCTCGCGAGATTTGAGCATTGCCGTGGCAACGCTCATATCTCGCAAGAGGAACCCGGCGGAGCTGCCGGCAATAGCTCCCCGGGTCCTCTCCTGCTTCCCTCCCTGCCTGTGGGTAGGGAGGGAGGCTGAGAGCAGAGCCGGCGCTCGGATAGCGCCGGCTCTGCATGAGCCGACAGGGGAGATCCTGAGATCTCCCTTGCCGGTCTCAATATACATAGGTGTGCCGCGGGGATTAGGGTGTGCCCAAGCACACCCGGCACACCCCATGTGCACGCCTATGATCTTTGGACTTTGTATTGTAAGTTCGCATAGGGCAGGATAACCACTTACTGATCTCAGTATTGAATACTGTTACTATGATCAATATTACTACTAATGAGGCAAGAACTTTATCAAAGTATGTAGGTTGTAACTTCACTTTATTTATGTCATTATATATTCTCCTATGTCCCAATTGACAACCATGATCTTTGGTCCTTACTTATTGATGCTGACATCCTATGTATTTTTGTAAAATCTACAATTATGATGATGTATTCAATCAGCATCTATCTTGACATCTGAACCACATAGTGCCCCTCCTTTTTTTTCAAAATATTGGATTATAAAATATATATTTCCAGATCCGCAATAATATGTACATCCATCATGGCCTGCTAACTTATAACAATACAAAGGGATCCTAATTTATAATGTACCTTTTACCAACATAGTATGATTTTAATCTAGAGCCCTGTATTTATGCATAGGGTAAATTATTCCTGGTGCCTTTAAACTCTTAAGGGTTAATCTGGTACACAGGCGGTCTCAGTGCCTGCAGTCTATTTCGGGGGTTTTACCAGCCTACCGTGACGTGGTGTTACTGAATTGGCTACATGACGCTAGTATTCTTTAGTCATCTCCCACCTGAAGTCACGGTACCGGATTGGCCGTTTGACGCAATTTGGAGGAATACAATGCTCTTGATAAAGGTGCAACATAGCGCCGAAACGTGTGTTGAGCTAAGACTGTGAAGCTAAGCGCAGCTGTGTAGGTGAATCAACGAAACAGACAGAAATAACTGATCTGGTGAGTAACATGGAATTCATAAATGATATTGCAGAGAAAAGTAAATTGCAGTTTGCATTTAATAGAAGCTATTCAGATGCTCTATTGTGGCAATCTTTATACCAGGGGTCCTAAAACTACGGCCCGAAGGGCCCTTAATCTTCAGGGGCTCGGTCATCGCTGCGGCCGTGGAATAGCGTGACAGGGCCCCTTTAAAAAAAATTCAGCCGCAAGTTGTGCTGGAAGGAAGTGAAGGCCGGTGGTCACTTCCTCCAAGCTCCCTCCGCGCGGAAGGGAAGAGAGACAGGGCACGTGAGCAACGCCGACTCCCATCAGCCACAGCCACCCTCCTGCAAAAAAGGTAAGAAAAAATAGCTATGTCAGTATGTATGTGTGCATGTATGTGTGTATGTATGTATGTATGTATGTATGTGGGTATGTATGTATGTGTGTATGTATGTATGTATGTCAGTATGTATGTATGTATGTCTGTATGTATGTATTTGTATGTATGTGTATGTATGTATATATGTCAGTATGTATGTGAGGGTATGTATGTCCACATCTATGTATGTATGTGTATGTCTGTGTCTGTCTGTTTATGTATGTATGCACATGTGTGTGTATTTATGTCCTTATGTGTGTGTGCAGTGTGCATAGGAATTTGTTCCTATTTTTTATAGTCTGGCCCCCAACAGTTGGTACCCATGACTGACATATTCTGCCTTAAAAATAGTATTACATTGTATTATTTTATTGTATTATTCTTCTGTATATTATGATTTTCCATGAAAAAAACTCAATTTCTCCTGATGCCTCTTATTGATGCTGTGTTCCTGATATTCCCACGTAGGAATACCGTCAACCGGAAGTTTCATCAACCGGAAGTGACGTGTATACACGGAAGTGTTACATGCGTTCCACAGTGGAACATATGCCATCAACTGCCGCAAATTTTCACCGGAATATAAGAAGATACCTGATGGATCAAGATCATACATCCCAGAGGAAGTTCAGAACGGGACGAAACGCGATTTTAGGATTTCAACTATCAACTTGTTTATAGACTTTTATTTTATTTTATTCTGTGTCTGTGATCCTGATTGCTGCTTTGCCATCTGCTGAGAATCCAGATAGCACTTTGATGTGGAGACATGTTGTTTGTCTTTTGACACATTGTACGTGCTACTTCTGCACTATCTCTCATCTCTACTTATATTTTGAGTTATCCATAAAGATACATCCATATCAGGATTTCTATGGCTGGAAGATTCCCTGTATTTACAAAATTATCCTAATATTGAGGGAGATACGCCTGAATTTGCTACTTTCTATTGAATTTCCTACAACCCCTTACTCCCCTGCTTGTGCTTATTGTATTGCACTATATGTGTATTTTATTCCACCAGAAATATGGTGTTTATGGTAGATTCTACTGACTACTACACAGGTTGTACCATTTCTTATCACTTCTGGTGATTTTACACACATTTTTCCTTTTGTTTTTTTTTCATTGAAACACTTGTAACTTTGAGTGTCTCTAGGGAACACTTTAACCTAGAAACATAGAAACATAGAATGTGACGGCAGATAAGAACCATTCGGCCCATCTAGTCTGCCCAATTTTCTAAATACTTTCATTAGTCCCTAGCCTTATCTTATAGTTAGGATA